AGGGACCTCGAAAGATCATCTAGTCACCTATAACAATGAGATTAAGCTATGCTATGCCATGCCACGCTGTGCCATGTGTCTGTGTGGCTCAGAGCACAACAGAGAGCTTTAAAAAAAATTATTCTGTCCATGTTTCACTGGACATTTTGGTTCAATGAAACATATTTGAAGTATTTACTAATTCAAAACTCGTCTTTTCTTTGGTGTTCAACTCAGACCATTGTGCAGATGTCAAGATGTAAAGACTGTTTCGCTGAATGGATGTTGTGCCTTTCACTGTATGATTTGTTGGCCCTGCAGTCTGCAGAGTGTTACACAACAGAAGAATTAATGATTGTTTACATTGGAACAAATTGCTGAGGTGTTTAGCTCAATTCCAGGTCTCCAATTCTTCCTATCGTCTGTTGAAACACTTGAGCCATTTAAGTTGCTGGCAGTATCAGCAAAAGAGATGACTTTTTGGGTGAAATGGAATTTTTCTGTGCTAAGAATGAATGGCTGAAAGGAGAAGCAAGCAGGTTAAGAGAGAAACAAAGAGCCATGCTGGGGTGAGCTTGCTGTTGCCAGGGCTCTGCGCAGCCCCCCGGGGCTCCCCCACCCCGCCCATGGCCCAGGACCCCATGTCATTGCCCTGGGGCTGTCAATAATGGGCAGGGACTGCAGCAGGGCTGGTCTCCGCTCCCTGCAGCCCTGCCCTGCCTGGCCATGATCCCCCTGAGCCAGGCCTCCCCTGGTCCCACACCCTGGCCTGGCCTCAGCCTATCCCCATCCCCAGGGAGGTGGCTGATGGCTGGGGGGGCCCTGGTGCCCTCAGCCACCCTTCTCCTGCCTGGGACAGCGGGATGGGGGCTGACAGCTGGCTCCTGCCCTGCTGCCCTGAGGGGGCCCCTGGTCCCAGGGGGCCCCCAGCCCCTCTAGGGACCTGATGACTTTTCCTGCTGCTACCAGAGGAATGATGGATGGTGATGAGAAGTGACAGCTCTATTCTAGATCTCTTCTTTTGGTGGCAGTGGTGGAAGCCAGCACAATTATCTGGGAAGATACTCCTGACTACAGTAACAGTGATCGTAACCACACTGTCTGCTTTGCCTACAAGTAGGCTGACTTTATTATCCACAGGCCATATTGCTGGTTTTTCTGTGGAAGGCTTCCTTCAGCCTTGAAGTGAGTTACTGAAACGAAGGGACAGAGGAGGTGAAGACCTGATTGTCCAGAGGGCCAACTTCTGTGGAGGAAGATTGGTTTTCCTGTCTTATCTGAAGCTATTTGCAAAGCTATGAGAGCTCATAAATAACTCTGCCCTTTTTCTTCTGATTAGTTGGCACTCCATGCTGTCACAGCACCTGGGACTCAAGCAGGGAACAAAGTGAGCTGTTTCTCTTCTACAGCAGCTCCTTGAGGACCATCCCATAGCTCTGGCCATTACAGTAGGAGACTGCCCTTGTAGCAGAGATTACAGATCAAGGCAGATAAAAAGTGGCAGAAAGGAAGTGCTTTCAATATCGTGATAGTTACTTTGCAAATGCAAAGGAATCTTATCATCTGTCTCATCTCTTAAATCCATCTGCAGTATTGAGTGTCCTTGTTTTCTGCATTACCTAGCTCATAGATGCAATCTTAAAGTAAATCTTTTTTCTCTTCACAAGCCTTCAAAAATCATTCCTATACGACTCTGATATTTTGCTGAAATAGTAATTTGCGTTTAGTTAAATCTGTGGTGGTTAGCTTTCTCAGTGTTGGATTCAGAGCCCTGGAGGGCTACAGCTCCAGGGTTGAACATAACACAAGAAGATTGAGAGGCAGAGCTGTGATGGGCCCAAGACAATGGGCTCTTAACAAATGTGTATGAGTAGCAGCAGCTACCATGTCTGTTGCTCTCTCCCAAGAAGAGGGACTACAAGTCCACGGCTGCAGCAGTCACTGGATCTCAGAAGGGCTGGGTGCCAGACGGACGTCAAGACTGAACCCTAGCAATCATGGTGGCTCTTGATGTATGTTTTCCTTGCATGCATTTAATTTTCTGTTGACAGTTTTTCACAGGTTTAACAGCTTCAGTACATCAGTTTCTATGATGGGAACCAAGTCTTCTGCCAGTAACAAACCAGCCATTGTGACAGATGACTGTGTAGACCTTGCAGGCTGTTATGTAAAACCACAGCACTGCAAAGCACTCTTGCTGCCACAGGATTTTTCAGTTTGAGGAAGACGGCTATTTCATAAAACAGTTTTTCAACCTGAGACACTCTAGATTCGTCTGTGGAGGATTTTGCTAAGTATCTTCTAAGGGAACAGGTGGTCCAGCTGGTTGCCTCTCATCATTAGGTAATTCATGGAAGAAACAAAATTTGTGAATTACTGCACTTGCTTTGTACTCAGAGTTTCAATAATGTGCAACTACACGGAAAATTATGTGGTTGCAGCTAACAAAATTCAGCATAGTCTAGTGTTATTATGCCAGAGCAATGGCCACATATTTCATATCTCTTCAAGTTTCCTAAGTTTATTAGCTTATGTAGTTGTCATCAATATCTACTGAGTGTCGTATATCTTGGTTTTTTGTGTTAATTCTCATGCATACTTCCTTGTGATTTTTTTGGTAATATGGGTTAGATACATATTGCTACAAACCCTTGTTCTAAATTATGCAAGAGAGCTTACTGGGTGAGATGGCCAAGAACTTTGCTTTGAAATAGTCTTTTGTTAAAAAATACTGATTTTACTGAAAATCAGTATTTGCTGATTGGTAATATTGCAGTTTTCACAGGCAGAACTTAGCTTCATAAAAATATTTCTGCATAAAGTACATTACACGTCTGTCGCACAGCAGCCACTGCAAGATGGCATTTTGACTTTGGACATGGGAAGTGCAAGATCAAGTCTGTGCTCTTCGAATTCAGATAACAGACTTGAACATGTGTGTCCCATATCTGAGAGTAAGTGCTAAATCCTGTGTGGTGTTCCAAAATTGTTATTAGTAACCATTGTGTGATCAATTTCTCTGTTCATATATATAAACCTAAGGAGAGATTTAGGTTGGAGCATCCAAACATCTTTATCACTCTCGAGTTGGAGAAATATAGAAAGGGTAAGAAGTGCTGTTCTCTAGTTTGTTTGTTTTTCCCAAAAACATTTTTTCAGGCTCCTAGTTTTCATCCTGATGGGAGGTCGTGAACATCCGAGAAGTCTTCATTTTTCATGGAATGGGAAAGTTCTTTCTCTTCAGCTTGACAGGTGAACATCTGCAAAGATAAGGAGATGCTGTGGAACTTGACTCACATAACTCAGAATATTCTGATTCATGGCCAGAGGTTTGCATTGCTAGCCCAGTTCTGCAAAACAGTACCAGAGCTGTGAAAACACCCTGTATGTCAGCGAGCACGAATCCTCACAAAAAAAGTTGTCCTACTACTACCATTTCTATTTGAATATTTGTAAATATTTTTATTTAATCTTAGGAGTACAGGCTTTGTCATATATAAATTAAATCACATTTTAGACATTAGTTGTGGTTGTCCTTCTGGAAGATGTCAGAGTTGCTGAGGTTAGTACTGTTGATTATTGTTATGTGACGCACAAAGTTAAACGACACGTTTGCCCAGCCTCTTTACCTTGTTTTCTGATTTGCAGTGATACCAAATAATATGCTTTACATATGTCTTTTCAGGTTCTGATCATCTTCGAGAGAAAGATGGACTGTGGGCTGTGTTAGTTTGGCTGTCAATCATAGCAGCTCGAAGGCAGAATGTAGAGGAGATTGTCAGGGATCACTGGGCAAGATTTGGCCGGCACTACTACTGCAGGTGAGAAAAATAAGGAAAAGTCACAGGAACTTATGCAGCTGATGGGACAATTTCGCTACAGCTGTCACTTGTTTAGCTGTGCTTGGCTGCATTTAGGTGTGCATCTGCTCTGTCCACAGAATGGAAATGTGCCACAGATTGCCACTGTTCAGCAG